CGTCTCGACATTTCCCCGTAGCCTTTAACAGGCTCCCCAAACACACTGATCACCTGCAGAACAGACACCATGCTTATTTCAATGTGACTCTTTTCATGGCTCCTGTATAAATATTTTCTGACAATCAAGTGATACATTATTTGTTTGCACATTCCAAGTGATTTTAAGAAAAAAAAAAAAAAATCAGTATGGTAAGGGCCCTTAACAAAAATGGTGACCCAAAGAAGAAAACTAGAAATAAAAGGGCATTATGTAGAAATCATACCATAAATAACTTAATATTTTATGCATGGGGCAGAAATGGTTCACTCTGTAGTGTCACTTGTAGCTTTAGAATGACACCGGCTGTTGAAGCAGGGGGAGGGGCTTGGATCTGCCTCTACTGAATGTACCAGGCTCTGCTGACTCCCCATGGGAGACCTTACCTTCTTGTAGGAGGGGGTTGGGGAGGTGGGTTGGGGCCGGAGGAGGGAAGAGGGGGATCTATGATTGGTATGTAAAATGAATAAAAAAATTTCTTAATAAAAAATAAATAAACATGCATAAATATGCAAAAAGAATGATACAGGCTGAGGTGAATCTGTCTCCTCTCCTTACAAGAAACAAAATAAACAAAAGAATTGAAATATTTCTCTAGTAGCATTCATATTGGAAGATAAAATGGACAGGCATTTGACATGAAATTATTAGGTGTCTAGTATTAAAAGCTGAGAGGTAAAAATGAAATTTTAAAGCCCTAAGCACGGCGAGGAAAAAATATCAAGTAATGATGATGCTGTTAAACTAAACCAGGTGCAGGTCTTTTCTTCCTAACGAGAAAATTCACTTGATGTAGAAAGTTTGCATTGAATTTTCAAAGCAAACACGTTGGACTCCTCTCTAAAGAACACAAATTGAATACCAAACTAAAAATACCATAGTTTGTCTCTTTGCAGAGTGTCCTTATTACTGCAAGCGTGCACGAAAAGGAAGGTTGTCAGTCAACAGACACCAAAGCCCCAAGAGCTGAAAGAGGCACTAACTGACAGAGTTCACAGGTAAGCCCAGCAGTGTCAGATTAGGATTATCTACTGTAAGGGGCACATAGTCTGGCAAAAGTGGGACTTAACCAGTGCTGACAAAACAGACCTGCTGAAGTTTAAGGACCAACTAGGAAGCTATGACCACAACAACACTCACTCTTTCCTATACTCTGTGTGGTTCTCTTTGTCCCAGTCTGTGATTACCACTGCATCCTAATACAGGCTAGGCACCTACCAGAGGCCACAAAGAACTCCCGGAATTCCAAACGATTACAGTGGGGTGTCTTAAGTGTGGTCTTTGCCAAAATCAACTCTCTTAGCTATACTTCTCAGTCTCCCCTCTGTGGTTGAGGACACAAAAGGAAAAATGCCAGAGACCACTAGCATCTGAAGTATCCACCCTGACTCAGAGGCATTTAACAACCACGAAGAACTGGTAAAATGAAACATACGTAGTGATCTTTGAGTGCCAGGATGCTGTGGAATAATCCTGTACACTGTGTAAATTACACTGTGATTGTTTTACTAAAGAAGCTGACTGGCCAATAGCCGGACAGGATAAGGTTAGGTGGGAAAACCAGACTAAGGAAACTGGGAAGAAGAAGGGCAGAGTCAGAGGAGTCACCAGCAAGACACAGTAAGGACATAGGAGGTGCAAGATAAAAGAGAGGTAATGCTATGTGGCAGAAAGTAGATTAATATAAATGGGTTAAGTTGTAAGAGTTAGCTAGTAACAAGCCTGAGCTATTGGCCAAGCATTTAAAATTCACATCAAGTCTCTGTGTTGGTTGTTTGGGAACTGGCAGGCAGGAAAGAAAAGTCCGTCTACACCAGGATCAAAGTGAGTCAGTGAACAAAGACCTAATAACATAAAAGCAACCCAAGCAGCTCAACACTGTAGGGTGTCACTGCTTCAGAAGTGGTGCATTCCTGCTTCCCAACATCTCATCAGAGAACTAACCTCGGGATGTGTTCTGCATTTTTCTAAGGCTTTCCCATATATAATATTAGGACTGGATGAAGAAAACAGCTCTTTGAAAATCGTGTAGAACAAGCCACCTGAAAAAGCAGAGAGAAAAATGAGGCAAAGCCATGGGGTGAGAGGCTGTGGAAAGGTATTCAGACACTTGCTGGGTTCTCTAACCTGTAATGCTGACTCCGAAGAGCACCACTACCAAGTAGGTGAAGTCTCTTCCAGCTTCTTTCACTGCAAAGAAAAAAATGTTGATAGGTTACAAGAGTGTCCACAGTACCCTGGCCCCTGGAGGCTTGGTGTGTTTCAAGCAGGTGGCACGTGGGGGTCAAGGTCCAACGGAACAATCTCAGCAGCTGATCTCAATGCTCCTGAGCTTCAGAGTTTCAAAATAAATCCCTCATCTTAGTGCTAACCAGGCCTAGCCTCACTTAGCTTCCAAGAGCGGAAGGAAATAGGCTGTCCGGTGTGGTATGGCTGTATACAGGGCCTAGCAATCTCTGTACTTCTTTCACTGAAGGTCATAATGTTGATACTGCTTCCTTCCTAGTGGCAGAAAACCCTTACCAGTCTCTCAGATCGAGAACAGCCACAGATGAGCAACATGGACACAGGTTTGCCCTGTCCAGATCAAGAATGCCAACTCAGTCAACCCAAAGACAAGGGAACAAAGGGACCCAAACAAATGTTAGCAACTCTTACTAGTACCAACCCACAGGTCCCCACTGACTGGTGCATGAAGTCTTCAAACTGAACTTGGACTTGGAAAGTAGGTGGCCAGGACGATCTATGAATCAAATAAACCTACCGAGGCTGTTCTTATTTTTCTGCACTAAGTAAGTATATGAACATATGGATTAAAGAGAAGTCTGGGGAACTAAGGTAATCAATCAAGATATTATTATGGGGGAGTATGTATTTATACACATTATTTACATAAGTGCATGCAATGTGCAAAAAGCTATATCATCACAGTGTATTTTTTCACAGATGCTGAGAACATTTATCCCTTTGGTACACTTATAGGTTAGTATAGTCACATTAGTAATCCAGATTTCTCTAACTTCAATCCTTAAAAATTTGTTTTTCCAGAAAATCAAAAATTAACAGGTGGTATTTTCCCCCTACTTTTTTCATATGTACAGTAAAATATTATAAATAAAACCACTTATTTAAAAATAACATACTTTTGGGTTTTAGTACAGGTTGCTAACTTGAAATGTGTTCAGGGGGCTAGAGAGATGGCTCAGTGGTTAAGAGTACTTGCTGCTCTTGCAGAACTGGAGTTCAGTTCCCAGAACAGACATCTGGTGGCTCACAATTGCCTGTAACTCCAGCTACAGAGGATCTGACCTTTTCTGACTTCCACTACACTCACGTACACACACACAAACACACTCACGTACACACGTACACACACACACACACACACACACACAATGAAAGAAAATTTTTAAAAAAGAAAATAGAAATATTGCATCTACCAAAATTTGTATATTTTATGGGATTGATCTAAACAATAATTGCTTCATAAATCCAACCTCTTTACTAGGCTCAGGGGCTGAGGCCTACAATGACAATCTCTATTCCATTATCTATATATCATAAACTACACGTCAACAGACATTGTGTGGGGCCCGAAATTGAGAGTGTAGTAACAATTAGATTAAGACATAACAGTATTTGTTTCTGCTTTCCACATCAGGTCATTGGCCTGGGCACCCCAAAATCCTGTTCCTTCAAACACTCAGTCGTGATAGCAATTTTCTAATTCAAGAACCAATAGCTCCCGTAATGTCTACTGTAAAGCTGTGAATATTACACACACTTGTTAAGTTTAAAAAATTCTCGTTAAATATTACAGTCTTCATCCTTCTGACTTTTTTGACCCAACAGTCTCACACAAGATCCCATTCCTTGTGTTTCTGCAGTCCTCTGCCTCTCTGTTATTGAACAACATAACACTTTCTCTATAGGCTGATAATAATATCTCTTCCTATTTATCCACACAATTATTATTCGCATTGGAATAGTTACACCAAATTCGAGATCAATTTTCAAAACAATTATAAAGTTGTGAAAACTGTGGGTCGACAGTGTTTGGTTGTAAACTATATATTTAACAGTTCTGTTCATTCTTTTAATCTTTATAATTCCCCTACCCCATCTTTAGACGTGAACTCAGCATAAAATGGTATTTGGCAGATTTTGTGACGTTGGCTGGGGGGACTGGTCTTTACCGAAGTAATGTAATATATATATTTTACCTTTCTGAGACGTCGAGACGCTAGTTTCCCCTCTCTGATTTCTGGTAACAGAGACTTGCTTGCTGCTGTCCTCTTTTGCTTTCTGGGGGTCCGGTCCTTGTGTCCAGAAGGTTTTCTGGGTGAACCCCAAAACAGTTCTAGGATGCACTGTTTTCTTCTGCTCTAGCAGCCCCCATCTCAAAGGCTGAGTCTTCAAGGAAGCTTTGGTGAGCATAGAGTGTGGCAACCATTGCCTGCCCCAGGACCCGGGCAGCTTCTCCATATGCTGCACAACTCGTAGAAAAGCACAAATCATGTTCACAAAAACTATGAGGCTTCGGGATTGCAACTTCTAAAGCTTAGTAATCCACACACTCCAGCGGACAAAACATGAAATCAACTCATTTACATTACACAGTGTGTTAGATGGATATCAAGATGAAAAAATCTACAAGAGAGGTTAGGCGCACCTTGCTGTCCTTTTTTTCCTCTTGAATTAAAATGTCCTTTTAAATTTAAAATGTACCTTACTATTGACATTCACATCTTGCCCGCCATGCTTTCGCAAAGCCGCCTGGGAAATCCCACACATCCTGGGAATCGCAGTATAAGGACTTCACTTTTACTGTGTAACCACAGAAAAAGGAAGGCAGGATGGACTACATCTCCCATAATGCCAAGCAGCAAGCCCCGTCTGTATTCCCAGACGCCTCTGCGCCGGCCTCTGCGCGTGCGCTGAGTGTCCTTACGGCAGGATGAGGCGGGCTTGTTAATGGCATCCCCGGTTCTTCAATGGCTGCGTGGGTTAAACAGAACTTGCAAAATCGAATTAGTTGCAAATTGCGTGTTCTCATGGCCTTTTTATAGAGGACTGTCAACTGAGAAGTTCATGTCGTGGGTCTGCCATAAATATGAGAAAGTGACAATTTCAGCGTTTCCGTTTCTGCTCAAGAAAACAGCTAACACACGTAGATGAACCGGGCCACCACAGGCCACCCGACCTCAGCTCGGAGCGGTGAACTGGCATCAGAATGACCGGGGCATGGGAAAGAAGCCGGACCCGGAAGTGTCCGGAACGCCGTTCCCGAAGCAAAAGCGGAGGCGTCCACCGGGAAACTCAGCCCACGTCCGCGCGAGCCTGGACGCGGCTCTGCGCACGCGTGAGGGGCAGCGCTTCACGTCTGCACTGTCGCCCCGCTAGAAGGTACCTTTGGGTCTCCATGGCGACCGGACGCGGTCGGATGCTGTGGCCGGGATGCTTTGGCCTTCAGGCGCTGCGCGGGTGCCTTCTCGGGGACGGCGCTGGCGCTGGCGCGGGGGCCGCTGCGGCTGCGGCAGCCGCGGGGCGCTCCGGGTTCAGGTGACTCGGGGCTCGCGGGTGGGTCTCCTTTCGGTATCCCACCCCACTGCTCGCTCTTTCTGGAATATTTTCATTGGTCCCACTCTGGCATGTGACTCCTGCTTCTTTTTTTTTTAAACTCGTGAAAGATCGTTCAGAACGACAGAGGGGAACCTCTCCATCCTGGAAACCTGGGGTACCTCAAGTTAGGACACAAGTAGAGGTACTTTGGAAGTAACGTGTTACTCAGCATTCTACCCATTCGTTGGTAGGCCCCGGGGTAAGGCTCTCAGGAGACTTCCAATAGCTGGGAGCGAGCGGCAGCGCACTTGGGAAGACAGGTGAAGACTTTCTGCTTGCACGGGGCACAAGGCTCTCAAGTACCTTTCTTGTATTTTAGAGATTTTAGCACGAGAATCACACCTTAGCCTTTCTGATGGCCTTGTAACGTGGAGTAGAATTTCTCCATCGAAACCCAGTGCTAAACAGGTGCTTCTAGCCATCAGGATGGCCTCGAGGCATGTACTCGTCGACGTTTTGTGCACCTCTCCCACCACACCAAGTTGTTTTCTAGACAGCCACGTCTTGTTATGCACCTCTGTTTTAGTTTGCAGTGTTCCTGTTAAGTGTCAGGGCCTGCAAGACCACTGTTCCATCCTCAGGGTTAACTTTCTATTTCTTTTAAGGAGTGCCTTTAAGCCAAAGGATATTCCTCTCTCACAGTGAGAGAAACGATTTTAGGGCATAAGAAAAGGACCTCTCTGAAGAATCTTTATTCACCCAAATAAGTACCGTACTAAACTTGCTTTCTTGTGAGCTGTTTCTAGCACTGTGCCCATTACTCCAGTTATAGTTTAGGTGGAGGGATAATGCTAAGAATTTACTTTTTTTTCCTTTTCAGACAGGGTCTTTCTGTGTAGCCCTGGTTGTCCTATCCTGGAACTCACTCTGTAGACCAGGCTGGCCTAGAACTCACTGAGATCCTTTTGCCTCCGCTTCCCAAGTGCTGGGATTAAAGGCCATTGCCCCCACGCCAGACAAGAATTTAAATTCCTGAGGATTTTCACTTTATTTCCAAGGCTTACTTGATTTATACATGCAACAGTTGTGTACATGCTTTTTAAGCAGCCAAATATCTTTGTGTAGGCCTAAAAATAACCTGTTAATAGGTTATGTCAACTACCTAAGTTACCTCACTCCCTCCCCAACTCCAGGGCCCTGCCCTATGTCCTTCCTAAGTCCCCTGTTCTTACCCTGTTAAAGAAAGATGGCATCATTATAATAGTTGTTGACTGAGTTCTCATGGACACGTCATAAGACTCGCGACAGAATGGTGACCTTGTTTGCAATAAAAAGCGGAAGACTGGCCTTTAACCTGGAAACTTTAATTTTCTTCTATTCCTAAAGTTATTCTTTAGGTAGTGCTCTGTGTGGGAGAGCAAGATGAACTTCATCTGAGTCTTTTATTTCTTTTTCAGTTGGGTGACCTTTCTGATAGATCGATTTAAATAAAGAACCTGCCATGATGGTGTGGGAACCTGCTCTCAGCCTGTGAATTTGACCTCTGTAGATTCTTCTGGTAAAGAAAAGTCAGCTGTTAGGAGTAGAATGGTTGACTATGCTTTAAGAAGGCAGTTATTAGCTGTGCTGTGGTGGCGCACGCCTTTAATCCCAGCACTCTTGAGGCAGAGGCAGGCGGATCTCCAAGTTCAAGGCCAACCTGGTCTACAGATTAAGTTCCAGGACAGCTAAGGCTACACGAGAAAATTGCGTGTCAATTAGGAATCACTAGTTCCTCATTTAACGCAAAATAAGAACATTTATAAACGTTATGTTCTATAAGAAATACAGCAGAATGCATATCAGGTTTGGTTAATTTATACTTAGTCTAATTTGATTTATTTCATACTAGCAAATACAATTTAAAGTTATTTTTATACATGTCTTGAGTTTATTCTAAGCTATCAGGCAAAATGTTGACTCGAGATGTATTTACTGCTAATCCATTGTCCTTCTGTCTGGATGTTTTCTTTGTGGTACTTGAAAAATGTTTCCAAACTAAACAGTGGATTTGATATAGAGCTGTTTGAAGATATGTGTTCAGCTCACTGGTTGTTTAGTGAAGTGGCTCATTTACAATGTGAAGTCAGTTTCAGGAAGAAGTGGAGATGTGCTTTTCAATCATGCCAAAATTAAATTGACAGATATTTGAAGTGGTAAAAAGAGCTCCAAAAGGGTTGTCAGGAGAATCTTGGGGTGCTCCTCTTCTAGCTTGGGACCATAACATCTTTTAAATTATCTAGTTGGAGACTTATCCAAAAGTAGCCATGCCGTTTTTAGAAAAGTGTTAAAATACCCTTGCTTTTCTTAAATGTAGTTGTAAATGCGTTCCCTTGTGCAGAATATGCCATTAAGATGTATTTGAAGAATAAACTGGTAAATAAGCTGTAGTAAATGCTTTAGTCAAAGATACACATATCTGTTCGGTATCAGATTAGGGAAAAGCCTTTGGTACCTTTTTCTTTTCTAAATAACTGATGCCAGAAAGCACCTACCTGCCCAGTCATTACTTAACTGTGTAGGGAGAGTAAACAGCTTGATGTTGAAGATGTCATAGTACACGTTTGTGGTGGTATTGTGTTCCCCCAAATATTGTGCACTCTAATAAACTTATCTGGGGTCAGAGAACAGAACAGCCACAATATTAAACATAGAGGTTAGGCAGTGGTAGCACACACCTTTAATCCTAACATTCCAGAGGCGGAAATCTGTCTGGATCTCTGTGAGTTCAAGGCCACACTGGAAACAGCCAGGCATGGTTACTCACACCTTTAATTCCAAGAAGTGATGGCAGAAAGCAGAAAGGTGTTTAAGGCGTGAGGACGAGGAACTAGAGGCTGGTTAAGCTTTTAGGCTTTTGAGCAGCACAGTTCAGCTGAGAGTCATCCAGTCTGAGGAAACAGGATCACCTGAGGAATTGGCGAGGCGAGGAAGCTGTGGCTTGTTCTACTTCTCTGATCTTCCCGTGTTTACCACAATACCTGGCCCTGGGTTTGTCTTTATTAATAAGACCCTTTAAGATTCCTGCTACACACGTTAATCTGCAGTTCTTGTACACATACTTAGAAACGAGATGACTGTTCATTTCATGAGATTTTTCTTAGCAAGTGAGCGAACTGCCTGGATTAGGCCTCCCTGTGTTCCCATGTTTCTTGAAAACTGAGTAGTAATGTGCCTCTCAGAGGCATAGCCCTCAGATGTGGGCAGGGGCCACAGAGGTCCTCTTTCTGATGTGTAAAATTGACACAAAGATTTTGGGGGCAAATATTAAAATAATTTAAATAGAAGTCTTCATAAGACATAAAATATTAAGAGAACATAGAAATTGTACTGAGTCCTGCCTACTGTATATTGCTACCACCAGACATTGTTCTTATGACTATATCTTAGCTTCAATATGTTGGCTTTTCTTCTGGACATTTGCGCGCACGCGCGTGCGTGTGCGTGTGCGTGTGCGTGTGCGTGTGTGTGTGTGTGTGTGTATACACACGTGCCTTTTTCTTTTAGAGAAATTAAAAAATACATTTACTATTAAACTATGGCCTGGTATTTCAACTGGTGTATTTATTTGGAAAGTGTTGAATACTGCCTGAATGCTGTGTATATTGTGGGTGCTGAAGATGACTACGAGGTGAAAGCCACTTGGTGATAGTAGAGAAGACAGTCAAGTTCAGTGTTTGATGGTGACATGGTGACACATGGGGAAGAGCTTAAAGGGCTCGTCCTCAGGAGCTGGATTAGAGTTTGAGATGGCTTCCAAGGACCTCTGAATGAGATCATGTTGTTGGAGTAAGTGCTTAAAGTAGGTGAGTAGCAAGCTATGCAGATAGCTGGAAGACAGCCTGGGCCTGTTTGTATTGAAACGACTGTGTAGCTATTGCCTCTCCATTGGCTGTTGTTGACGTCATGGATACAGTGCGACTCTACCAGTTCCTGTCCTTAGGCTGTTTCTACTGTTTTTCTTCTCCAGGACAAATAGCTTTGAGGTTGACATTTATTGAGAGAACGATCAGGGCACGTTTTCTTGAGTTAAGGCTTATTTCTGGAAATGGAATTCTGGCTTTACAAACGTGTCTGCTCTTTAAGGACCTCACCACTAGACTCCCTGCTCTGTCTGTCCTTGCACCAGCGAGATAGCTAGCTTCTCTGTAATGGTGAGCAAGAGTCCCTAGCATGTTTGGTTTTTGCTTGGTTGAAGTTTATGCATCATACTATTTTTCTTTGTTCTTTTAGATAGGCCTAAGGTGTGTGTGTTTGTGTGAGGTTTCCTGCACCTAAGTGCAGGTGCTGGTAGATGCCAGAGGCCTTAGGTTCACCTGGCAGTGAAATTCAGGCAGTTGTGAGCTGCCTGGTGTAGGTGCTAGGAACCACACTGAAGTCCTCTGTGAGTGCAGCACCCACTCATAAACCCTGAACCACCTCAGCAGCCATCAGCGTCTCTTGATTGAAAAACTACCCTGTGGCAAAACACGGTTACCAATATCATAATGCTTTTTAGGTAAGTTTACACTTGACTCGCCACCACAGTGTTTGTTTATATTGAAAAGAACTGTGTGTGTTAGTGAGAGAAAGTGCTTAGTTTTCATTCAGTGCTTAGCGTGTGTATGAAACCTTGGATCAAGCCTCCACATAGATGGTATATGTAAGTCAATATAGACTATAAGAATAATCACAAGTAGTTTTAAATCACTTTAGAATATGTTCTTTAGAAAAGTCATTTATTGTGTTGACTGGTACTTCCCTTCTCAAAACATTTTGTTGTTGGAAACGCTCCATTTTGTGGTTCGTGGTTAGACCAGTCCTAGGAAGCTAGTATTATTTGGGCATCATTCTTTGCTTCTGATTTTTGTGTGAGGGCCAGGTAAATGGGCTTGAAGCTTTTCTGCTGTAGAAATCTTTGTTTAAACACAGAATTTCAACAGAAGTATAAAAGTATATGATAGAGAGGGTTTTCTGGTTAGAGAGTATGGGGTGACATTCTCAGACTTTCAGATATATGCCTCTTACCCCCCGCCCCTCCTTTCTGCTCTCCAGAGTTGGACTGAGACCCACTGTCTGGCCTCGCTCAGACTGGAGAGTCAGATGAGACAGGATGCACACTGGGCTACATTTGCTCAAGGCTGAGTGCAGAAGCATGTGCTCTCTGCGGTTTCTACTGTGTGTGTTGTTACCCTCCAGGCTCTGGGAGAGTTTATCCACCCTCTCATGCCAGGCTGCCAGGGTGCAGACCATAGCTAGTATTTATGAGGAGCTTCTCATGTGCAGGCCACTCTGCTTGTTGCTAACCAGGGGAGAAAAATCATTGTGCTGCTGCTCAGAAGTCTAGAGGAATGCTGCTCGTTGAGCAAGGCAGCTGGGGACTTGTGGAGGATTTGACGATTACCGATAGATACCTATTGGGGTGTACTATCTTGGCAAAAGCTAACAGGCTGCATTGCTGCTCAGTCAACTGAGGCTTTGGTTAAGGACCCTTTGTTGCTTGTGCTTCTAATGGTAGAATGTGCTTGGAGTTGAGAATTGGCATCTTTTATGGCCCATTTGGTATATCAGCTTCCAGTGAGTTAATTAGCTTTCCATTGAAATTCTTAGCACAGCCTATTTTTGCTTCTAATCAAGTCCTTTGTTTGGTGTTATTCCAAACACCAGGTTGATCCTGAGGGTGGTTAAACATTGGTGAATGAGAAATGGGTAATATGTACTCTGTATTGCACCTTAAATAGCATGTAGGGTGTAGAGTTGTATCAGTAGCTGATGGATGTGTGTTGTACGTTGCTCAAAGAAGTAGCTTCTAGGCATTCCTAAGAGCAATAGAGTTCACTAGCAGAGCTCATGGGGCTACTTCCTCAAACCAGGATCTGTGGACTGTGACTGCCTGTTCCTTCAGCCCTCCTCCAGTCTGCTAGTGAGCCTCACTTGTTTTCAGGACTGACCTTAATACAAACTTGCTTTAGGAACTTTGAAAGAGTATGTTTATTTCATCAGTACTAAAAACCTGTAAATTATAAGATGCATTATTTTATGCATCTCTAAAAAGACAGCCAATTAAAATATAGTTTATTGGATATATGATATTAAAATGTAGGAAACCTTTGGATATAGGTACTTCTGTGCCTAACTAAAGGATAGTTAAACCTTTAAAGGATAGTTAATGCTATCTTTTGAAACTCTTTTCAAAGATCAACCAAGTTGTAGGTTGTGTTGACAGATCTAGCTCACAGATAGGAAGTTATTAAAAATGTATGGATTCTACCTTCATTAGGTTTCTGTTATATTAATGAAACTGGCCGCTCAATATGTCTGTTTTAGTTTGATTTACTTGTTAGCTTGACACAGCCTAAAACCATCTGAGAAGGGAATCTCAGTTGGGGATTGACCAGATCAGATTGGCCTCTGGCATCGTTGTGAGTGATTGTCTTGACTGTTAATTGATGGAGGAGGGTCCAGCCCACCGTGGGTGTCACCATTCCCTGGGCATGTGGTCCTGGGCCGTAGAAAGCTAGCTCAGCCTGAGCCTGTGGTGAGCCAGCAGGCTGCATTGCCCCGTGATTCTGCTTCTCACGCTCCTCCTTAGGTTTCTGTTCTCATTGATGAGCTATAGCCTGTAATAAGCCCTCTCTCTAAATTGGTTTTGGTTAGAACATGCTGTTGCAGCAACAACGTGAAACTAGAGCAACATGTTTATCGTTCCCCTTTGTCTCCCTCACGTACATTTTGAAACGCCCCTTCCACAGGCCGGCAGTCTGTAATGAGCACCAGTACTGCACTGTACGTGCAGACTTTAGGTTTGTTTACCTACCACACACTTGATTTGAACCCCCTCCTTCTGTCCCTTCCATTCTTTTCTCCTTCTGTCTTTACTTCCAGAGATGAAGTTTCACATTGAATAATCTTTGGAGTTTATTGATCCTTCAGAATTTTGTAGAGGGGAACAGATAATTCACCTCATTTGGTAATTATATAACTTGAATTTCTCACTTGTGCTTTCAGAAAGGGTTCTGGGGTCAGACTTGTCAGAGGCTCATCTGTCTTGAGGCAGTCTACGAGACATGACCAGCCCAATGAGAAGTCCTCCTCCATCTGTTTTATATCCCTGGACAGGTACGTAGCCTGCTTCTCATGGGGTGGTGGGCTTTAGGCATGGGTTTTTTTTAGAGAAAATTATAGTGCAGCATATACCAAGTTACTATTTTGAGCTTTCTAAGAATAGGGTTATGTAGGAAGAATGTACACCACGGAGTTTGACATGAGTCATGAGCCTGTCACCATTATCCTTATTAGACTAGTTTTATGAAACTCAACTTCTAAAGGTGACAGGTACATTGAATTTTCCTTCTATTAAATTGTTCTTCCTAATTATTCACTTCTTAGTAGATAAAGACCCATGGAAAGCCAAAAGATCATGTTTTTTCTAAAGTTGTATGAGCCTATGGGGTTTTTTTAGATCAGATATTTTGAACTCTTTGTCACTGTGAGATCTGTACTGTGATCATTGGAACCAAAATCCGTTCAGTCTTTAAAAAAATTGTGAACTGATGTTTAAGATGCCTATAGATGTGTGTTATAATACCATTATGGGATACATTGATGTAATTAGCATCCCTTGGAGCCCTGCCATGTTGGTATTTTACCCCAGGATGCAAAGCCTGAAGACCCTGTGTATTGCAAAACTAATTCACAATTGGACATTTAATACTGTATCATAATTAGTTCTGCCAATAGTACCATATTTTATATGCACATTTCAGTGTACTTATTTTAGTATATTTTTTACATATAGAAGTCAAAAGAGATAATTAAGGACCCTAGTTATGTTTAAAACCCTTTACTCTGGGAATAGGATCTGTCACATAAATCTGATGCTGTACTTGATGCTGAGGGACACATGGTGAGCCCTTACATGTTTTTTCTACAAGCTGATAGCCTACTGAGAGAGAGATTTTTTTAAGTGAAAAATTATAAATTGGGGTGCATGCTGTCAAGAAAATGAGTGAATTTCGTACCCCAGAATAATAAAATCGGGTGGTAGGAGAGGCTTCCCTGGTGAGGTGACTTTGAAGGTGGAAAGTGAAAGTTGAGATTAAAGAGCTTGGAGAAGAATGTACCAGAATGGGAGCCCAGAGGTGCAGAGGTGGGCAGGCTTCCTGTAGGAGAGGCACCAGGTAGCTAGTGTGATGGGATAGGCACATGCTCCCATGATTTGGGGCTGCCAGGCCCTTGGTAGTAGCTGGACTTCTAAAGTATCTTGTTTATATTCTTTGTCTCTCTGTTCCAGGAGGAGGGAGATAGTGAGACAGGCAAGTTTGGACATTTGGAGGTGTAACTGACATCATTCATATATAAAATAGATGTCATTGAGGAGTCAACAGACATTAGGTGGGACCCCAAACTGTTGGCTCCAGCAGATGTGTGAATGGAGGTACCGCTGCTAGGGATGTGGAGGAACTCCAGGGAAGTGGGGGTACAGAAGAGAGTCCTGCTGGTGACCAAGGAGCTTGCAGAGACCCCACAGGTCCAGTGCTGCTGTCCTGGATCGCTGGGAGGTTTGGGGCAAGAACAAAGACACTTGTCTAATGGGGAAGCCCAGAGGTACTGGGACACTGAGAAGCAACCACAGATCCAGGGAGGACCTGTGAGAGGGGAGGGTCTAGAAGAGTGTTATAGAAGGAGAGGGCCGACCACTTACTCTTGTGTTGTTTTGCATTTTATATTTATAGTATAAGAAACAGAAAAGAGGAAGCGTGGGCTTAGAGGCAGTAAGTAGAGACAAGTTGGTGTATTTTCTTTTGTTGTTTTTCTTTCCTAGAAGCTCTGCAGCCAGTTGTATTGCAGAGGTTGTGTTGCAGCTAGAGAAGGGGAAAGGTGGGGTTAGATCAGCAGATAAATATGAAGATGAGATATTTTGGTCACAGTTCAAAGGCTGATGTGATGATGGAGAAGACGGAGGCCTGAATGGATGAAGAGGGACTGAAGGCTTTGAGGACATGAGTGGGGATCCAGTGCAACAGTGGTTTGATAGAAGGAAGTGAGAGTTCTCTGAAGAAATGGGTTGGGTGTAAGGGTGGGAATGATGTGTGCAGGAGTATTGGGATGGATTCATTGTGTACAGTAGGGACAAAGACATGTTTGTTGCTTAGTCACTGTATTAGTTACTTTTCTGTTCTTCTGATAAAACACCATGACTAAGGCAACTTATAAAAAAGTTTATTTTGTTTATGGCTCCAGAGAGTTAGAGGCCATGGAGCAGAATGCTGAGAGCTCACATCTGAAAGTACAAAGTAGAGAGGGAACTGGGTGTGGGGCAAGGCCCCGCAAAGCCTGCCTCTAGTGACACACCTCCTCAAGCAAGAGCGCACCTCTTAAGCCTTTGCAAATATTGATACCAACTGGATTAGACTAAGTTTTCAAATGCCTGAGACTGTGGGGTACAGTTCTCATTCAAATCACTACTGTCACCATAGTATTGAAAATGAACATACACAAATCAGCTGAATTTCTTAGCGAAGACCACTCGCTTGAACTAGAGCTTCTTGTTACATATTTGGTTCTGCCCTGTCTCTCACTTAGTCATTCCCTTTCTTTCTTCATCATTCCTTATCTCCATTCCAGTGACTTATGTGAAGTAATTAGAATCCAATAGAAAGTAACCCAGTGTGGGTGTAAACATTGGTTGTTCCAGCTGGGAAACAAATTCATTAAGTAGTAAGTATGAATGTATTATATGGGTCTTGTGTAGGTAACCAGGGCTACTGTGAGTTTGAGCAACAGCCGTGCCATGTCTACATGACAGCATTTCACAGAAGTCCTCTGCATCCTCTTGTTCTTACACTCTTTCCCCCATCTTCTAGCATGTTCCCTGAGCCTTGCGAGGGGGTGGAGCTGCTTACATAGATATATCTCAGTAATGGTTGAGCACTTACAGTCACTTATTCAGAGGACTTGGAACAGTGATGGGTAGATGGGATCAAGATATATTAGATATCAAGATACACATCTCCCCCATGTTCAATTCTGGCAGATAAGAAGGTGAAACTTATTTAATGCCTCACTTGAATGGGGTTTTGTTCACTTAAATTCTTAGTTACTCCATACCTTTCTGAGATGTCTTTATGATCAACTCTAAATTTGTTTGAATTACAATAATTTTAAAAAATAGGGACAGACTTTTATAAAACAATTAACATATGAAAGGACATGCAGTGGACAGTCCTGACAGTGACTGCCTTCGTTACTTCTCTATTGCTGTGGTGAAACACCATGACCAAAAGGAACTTGAGCAGAGGCTTGATTTGGTGTACATGTCTGGAATCTTAGTCCATTGTGGGAAGTCAAGGCAGGAACTCAGACTGGGCTGGAGCCTGAGACAGAAACTGATGCAGAAGCCATGGGGGGGTGCAGGACGATGGGGTTGCGGGGGATGGGCACGTGGGGGATGGAGCTGGTGGTGCTGCTTCCTGGGTTGCTCCGTTGGCTGCTCACCTTGCTTTCTTGTAGAGCCCAGGACCACAGGTCCAGGGATGGCACCACCCACAGTTGAGGTCTCAGCCCATCACCACAATTAAGAAAATGCCTTAGAGGCCTGCCTACAGCCCTGTCTTACTGAAGCATCTTCTCAGTTCAGGTTCCCTCCTCTCAGATGACTTGCTTGTGTCAAGTAGACATAAAACTAGCCAGCACAGTGCCCAAAACTCCCCCCCCTCAGTTTTGTGTCTCTCATTTCTCACTGAAGGTGTCTAACGTACTGATTCTGAATATAAGAGATTTCAAGGGTGAGGGCAGGGAAGATTTAACTGAGGTGAGGTTGCCTGTTCTTGCAGAAGCCTTGAGCACTCACATGGTGACATGTGTCAAATACGTGTAGAGCTAGCTGGCTTTCTCTAAGGATCCACATGATTTTTTCTTAGTGTTTTCAGAGTCTTAGGACTAATATTTCCCTATGAATGTTTGATCATTGAATTCTATTAATAAATAAAATTATTTCAATTACTAAAATCACAAGTAGAGACTGACCAAGCCGTTTTGAGTTGGCCCAAACTGTTTTCTTTGGCTCTTTACCCCTGCATTCTCGTTCTCCCATCTCTGGAACAGTCTTCAAAGCTCTGTGCTCATTGGCCCTTCAAGCCAGATGCTGACCCAGGTGCTCGGAGACCCGTTCCTGATTGCTCATGCTGCCCGACTCTTGTGGTGTGTGTGGACTTCTGCAGCTTTGGAAGTAGAAGGAGTCTTGATATACATTATAATGTGATTCATTTAGACAGGAAGCCCTTCAGAAGACACTATGAGGCCTGAAGTTTTTTTGAACTAGAGAAGAAGCAGTCAGTGTCCCTCTGTGAGGACATTTAGCAGGCTGGCGAATGGGAACCCGAAATGCAGGTTAGGTATGAACACAGTTCATGTTTCCATTTCTAGCAGCAGCATTATTCATGGTGAGAATGTGTTCCCATCCTCCAGTTCCTGCTGTGCAGCAGAGAATAATATACATCCATGATGGACTCATTGAAGTGCTGCCTGTTGATTCGGGTGTGCAGATGTGGTTGACATGCTGAAAAAGTCAGTTCTCTGTGTCTTATAATGTCTGAATTGGTCTATGCCATGAGAGTGGTAATAACCAGAAAATTACAATCAAGAAATTAATCGAGGGTGAGAGAACAGTTTGCTTATTAAAGAGATGAATGTGTTTGTAGCCCTCTCTTTGGAGATGCATAGCCAGTTGTATTCTGGGTAATTTGTAGATTCAGCATTGGTTAACTTGTTTTAATTTTCTCCCTCCTTTCTCAGAATGCCCTCTGAAATCTTGCTGAATATATTTTCCTACTTGGATGCTGTGAGCTTGCTGTGCACTGGATGTGTGAGCAGACGCTTTTACCATTTGGCCAGTGACAAGTAAGGAGAATACTCTGTCCGTCTGTTATATGTGATAATAGAAATCGTGAAAGTTAGTAGGCATTTTAGCCACTTCCTAAAAGTTAAGAGAATTAGTTTTATTACTTATTAGACAGTGATGTGTCTAATGCTGTATATGGTCATGTACTTTCAAACATTTGCATTTATGAGTGTAAGATACGGAATATTCTTTGCATATGCTGAAGATAAAGCCTATTACTATTGGATCTGTAGAATAAAATTTTGATCTGTGATTAGGGGTCCCGAGCGTGATTTATTCACAGAGCTTTTTACCTGGTCCTGGGCAGATGGTGTACTCTCTACTGGTGGTCATGGAGATCATAGAGAAAAAAGTGGGAGGGGGCCCTGTTAAATTGACTTAGCTCTTCCTATCAAATCTGCCAATACACTTGAAATATGGGAAGAGTGAGAGATGGGAGGAGAGAGACCCAGCATGTGAAGGCCTTACTATGGGAATCAGAGAGGCCCCTCAGTTAGGCTCTCAGGCATCTATGAATAAAGAGAAGCTATTGCTTCTATTTTTCTTTGTGAACTTGGCCTGCACCTAGAATTTCACCTTGTGTGGAGAGAGTTAGAGTCCTCCTAATATCTACTGAGCATTTTGTGCCCACTTCTTGAATTTTTAGGGTTCTCTCTTAATCAATATCAAAGACCATGCTAATATTGATTTCTATGTAGAACCTGCCGATAGTTAGGAAAAACGTCAAGATAAAGAATGCAGGTTGGTTTGATTAAGGGTGTGGAGAATGACAGACAGGCTGCAGTATTTTATATTCTTGGAGCATGGTAGACAGGGAACATTCTCTATAGCGGTTCTCAGACGCTAGTCCACAAAAGACAGTTTCACAGTCAGCTGGGAAAATGCAAAACTTTGGATTCCTACTCTGTATTTGTGAAGATTATAATTTAATGCTTTGCAAGATTGTAATTTGGTGGTCTGGAATCCATATTTTTACAGTTCAGGTCATAGTAATGAATAATCTAGTTCTGAAATGACTGGTCCAATATATCTCTGATGTTCTTGTGTTTGCCCTTTAAGTGAGAAACCCGTAGTGAATCCTCTGATCTCATTAATGCTGTCCTCCACTGTTTTCACATCCAAAGGGAACATGTTTTAATTGGGAAGGGAGGTTCTTGTCTCTTAACTTTAAAAGGTGCAAGAAATTCTTAGTTTTATCTGCATCAACTAGTGGATAGCATTTGGCAATAATTCTGGAATGAATATAGGTAATTTTTGAGTCATTGAAAATGTGTGTGTATTCATGTGCATATGCACATTTGATTGCACCAGTCTAGGCTGAAATTATTTCATCTGTACAATGGGGATAAAAACAGTAGCTACCTCATGTGTTTATTGGGAGGACTAAATGAGTTAATGTATGTGAATTGCTTAAATAACAGTTGACATGTGTGCTCAGGAAAATTTAACTGTTGCTGCTATATTTTAATGACTTTCACTATTTTACCTTTTTGAAATAAGGGCATGTGCATTGTTAAAAATTTAAAGATAGGAAGCAAAATGAATGTATGTAACATGAATTGCTAAGTGTTCTTATTAATAAAAAGCCTGGAGCCAGATACTGGGGTGAAAACTGAGAGATCAGAGGAATAGAACAAGCCACAGCCAACCTCGCCAACTCCTCAGCTGATCCTGTGTCCATGAATTATCAAACTGAAAGCCTCGTGAGTCCTCACCCCTGAGGGTCTCCTTTGAACTGCTGCTAAAAGCCTCTAGTTCCTGGTCCTCAAGCCTTATATACCTTTCTGCTTCCTGCCATTACTTCTTGGCATCAAAGGCCTGTGTCCTTCCCAAGCAAAGACATGAGATCTCAAGTCCTGGGATTAAAGGTGTGTGCCACCACTGCCTGGCTCTGTTTCCAGTGTGGCCTTGAACTCACAGAGATCCAGATGGACCTCTACCTCCCGAGTGATAGGATTAAGGGTGTGTGCCACGACTATCTGGCCTCTATGTCTAATCTAGTAGCTGTTCTCTTTTCTGATCCCCAGATGAGTTTTATTTGTTAGAACACAAATAAAATATCACCACAAATGTGTAATGGTATTTGCTCATTTTGTATTTGTGTACAATGTTGAGTTTTATATGATTGAACTCCTACTCAGTTACCTTGCAGGAAGACAGTATTTAGATGATCCCAAATAACATGGAATTCTTAAATTTAAACCTGACTCTGGAAATAGGCTTTTCTCTTTTTTATGTGCTTTTGGGGATAGTGGATCTAAAACATTTCATTTCAGACTGTGGTCCACTGTACACATGAAGACATGTAAATTATTGATGGAATTAGCCTATTTGAAATTTAAAAATTATTGTGTATCTCTAATGTAATATATTGCTGTTACAAGTACTTTACAGTGCCTCTAAATTGCTTATTTTATCCCTTTCTTCCAGTTTTATTTGGATCAAGTTCTACTCAGCTGCGTTTTCATCAAAAAGATCACATTGGAAAGTTAAAACAGTGGAGGAGACAGCCATGTCTGTGAGTGTACTGTCAGTTGAGGATAAGGAAGTTGGGTACTGGAAGAAAGAATATATTACAAAGCAGATCTCATCTGTGAAAGCAGCACTAGCCCACATTCTCAAACCTGTCAACCCCTACACAGGTCTTCCAGTGAAAACCAAAGAGGCCCTCAGGTGTGTAGGCTACTCTTGGACACTCCAGTGGCTCCTGGACAGAACCACGGAACCTTGCCGTTTCTAACCCGATGTTGTCATTTCCAGGGGTTTTAGATGTACCAGGGATGTGCAGGTTTTTTACTTAGTTGCAGGCCTAAGGATGGAAACTAGGGTCTTACATATGCTAGGTAAATGGGTCCCATGAGCTATACTCCTAGACTTGGATCTTACATATGCTAGCGAAATAGATCCCATGAGCTACACTCCTAGACTTGGGTCTTACATATGCTAGGGAAATAGATCCCATGAGCTACACTCCTAGACTTGGGTCTTATATATGCTAGCGAAATAGATCCCATGAGCTACACTCCTAGACTTGGGTCTTACATATGCTAGAGAAATAGATCCCATGAGCTACACTCCTAGACTTGGGTCTTACATATGCTAGAGAAATAGATCCCATGAGCTGCACTCCTAGACTTGGATCTTACATATGCTAGAGAAATGGATCCCATGAGCTACACTCCTAGACCAGGGTCTTACATATGCTAGGGAAATGGATCCCATGAGCTACACTCCTAGACTAGGGTCTTACATATGCTAGGGAAATGGGTCCCATGAGCTACACTCCTAGACTTGGGTCTTACATATGCTAGGGAAATGGGTCCCATGAGCTGCACTCCTAGACTTGGGTCTTACATATGCTAGGGAAATGGGTCCCATGAGCTACACTCCTAGACTTGAATCTTACATATGCTAGGGAAATGGGTCCCATGAGCTACACTCCTAGACTTGGTTCTTACATATGCTAGGGAAATGGGTCCCATGAGCTACACTCCTAGACTTGGATCTTACATATGCTAGGGAAATGGGTCCCATGAGCTACACTCCTAGACTTGGATCTTACATATGCTAGGGAAATGGGTCCCATGAGCTACACTCCTAGACTAGACAGGCAGTTTATATTAGATGGGACTATCTCTGATAGTTTTCTCTTGTGTGTGCTTTTGCATCTGTAAAATGTACAATATTTTGATATTGGCTCACGTTTTTATGAACAGCAGAAACAGCCTCATGATATGGAGTAGAGCTAGAGTGTTGAAGGTGCCCTTCCATTGTCTGAACTGCCAGTCGTGGGCCATCATAGATACTCAGGGAGTATTTGCTAGGAGGAGAAAAAGGTTCACAAGGTGCTGTGGGTGAAATGAAAATATGTCAGGAGTGTGCCAAGGATGTTAAATTTTGTCTTTTAAAGAAGTAGGTATTATGGAAATGACACGTGAAGTGTGTGTGTTGATCTAGAGTTCTTTCTTTGAAAGCATTTTGAGCTTTCTTTTCTTTCTCTAGACTATCTGGCCTAGGTTGGGCAATTATATTAAGAGAAAAAAGTGGAAAGGAACACATCATGCAACATGTTGATCTTTCCTTAAATGATACGTCTGTCACTGTTGTGTGGTATGGCAAAAATTGGCCATGTCTGGCCACGTTGTCCACCCTGGATTTGTGTGGTATGACGCCAGTTTTTATGGACCGGTATAAAGCCCCTGACCCAAATGGGTAAGTACTAATTCAGTAGCACATTGGCAAGGACTGCTGGACCTGAATATTAATTGGCATTCCTTTGTAATTCAAAAATACCACTAGTGTATTTTAATTTGATTGTATCTCAAAGACCTTCCTGTCATTCTGCATTGCTATGGAACAGAAGATACTGGGCATGTCACATTTAGGTCTAACTATAAATTCTTTGAATCTTATAACAGTAAAAAAATGAGTCCAGTTTTAAAAGTTTATTAGATGATGTGTGGCTTTTCTACATTCTTACTTTTAACTGTTTTAACAAATGATATAAATGTGCATATTCTTCAGTAATTATATACTGATTTTAGTTTAAACCCTTTATAAATACAATTATCACTCATCCTGTGTGATTTTTCTCTTGAATTTACTAGATGTGTGGCCATGTGCACCTGACTCTGCCTCCATCTTCACACCTGTAAATTGGTATGATGCTGATGGCGTTAGGGTGAAGATCACGAGACTCAGTTGTGAACCTCTAGGTCAGATGCGTGTTCCCCCAGAACACTCATCCTGCCTCTAGATGGCTTTCCCCCGAGTCCACACACACTAAAGTGCTCACAGCTGCTTCTCCCAGCATATCCTGCATTCATCAGTGACCACTGTCCTGGAAAAGCTGGACTGTGGCAGGTGTAGATCCTTATGTCCCAAGCAGGCTAACAGTTTTTATAGCAAACTCTTGCGCTGTAGCAGTGTCCGCCTCCTCCATGATTGTAGTGCTGCTGTCTGTCCTACCCCTTCCTGTGTGGTGTCTTTGACTTTGTAGCAGCATTTTCCTCATGGTTATTCCTACCGTCTGTGCTTACTACAGTTGTCATGGGTCCCTCTCATCTCCGCCCTATGAGGAGATGCTGTTATTTCATGGTTTCCCTGGTGTGGGCTTGCTGTTGGCTTCTCTGTGTGCCAGCTCTTTGGCTGCTTAGTGGTCATACTCAGGCCTCTCACTGCTGCCCATGCTTGCTGTGTTCTGAGAACATTATCAGTGTGAAAACGTGGATTATTTTCCCCAATAGATTACTAGATATATTTTGACAACACAGTTACTTTTTTAAGTGATATTTTTATTTGGATAAATCTGAAATTTGTATGATGAACCTCCAAGTTTTTCTAATATAGTAGGTAAGTTGTGTACATTCTGAAATTATATTTGGGGTAGGAATACACAAAATGCACTGTTTTGATAGGATGATGTGTTACTTGGTGTATCATGGATTATTGTTTATAGGTACTGGTACAAATTAGTTAACATTAATTAAAACAACCTTGTAAGACTATGGGTTTAAAGTTCACGTTATGTTGAATTGTAGAACTCACTTAAAAGTATATATGTGCCCAGAAATTGCCACCGAGATCAGCTTCTAGTTACTACATGGTAATGACTGCTGGAATTTATTGGGGGACGTTAATCTAATGTAATTGATTTCCATTTAAAGTCTGTGGGCCAGCCCTTGATCGGCAGTGGTAAGCAGAGCTGAAAGTGTGTTTCGAGAATTTGTTTTGATGGGCCTCTCTACAGTTTGTAAGCCAGTGCTTTTATCACGAGGGATGATCCTTGTCTGTATCTTTGTGATAGCCAGGAGGGACTCTGTGCCTTTACTTACACTTGTATTTGTTTCTTCTATGAAGTTTTTCTGGGAATATCAAAAGTTATTTGCAAATAATTTCCCTGTAGCTTAGACCTTTCTAGATGGACTCTATGCTGTCATTCTTGTTAGTGTTCTCTTCTCAGTTCATGTAGTCCTGTGCCCTCCAAGTTTGTGAGAATGATTGCATAATGTTTTCAGAGGCCTCAGTGGCCATGGCTGTGGTTTGTAAAGCTAAGGTGAATGAGGACTTAGTTTGTCCTCAGAGTCTATTTAATATTTCCATAGCCATACTTGAGCGTGTTTCCAAGCTTTGATGTATTGAAGATGAAGGGAAGAGGCTTTCTGCTGTCTCCACCTTGCTGCCTCTTTCTGTCCTGTCATGATAGCAGCAGTTGCCAGCTGTTGAGCATCTGTTAGATGTGCTGTGCTGTCATGGTATTTTGTCTTTGAATTTCCTGGCCTTCCCTCTGAGCAGGTGTCTCACATGTTGGGACCCAGTCTGTGATGTTGTCAAGTCATTGTCAGCTGGAGCTAAGGTTTCCCCATGAGTTTTCTTCAATTTGTATTTAAATCACTGGTCCTGCCTTCCTCATCCTCCAGGCGTGTTCTTCATGTGTCTACTTTTAGTTAATATGTCACAAATCTCACCAACCAGCTCTGCTATCTAGTTATTGTTCTCAGCCTAAAAATCCCCTAGGAACGCATGAGAGCTGCAGATTGGTTCTGTTGCCCTACAGCCCTCCTCTGCTTTGAAACAGTGCCACAGGTGACCCTGCTTTGTTTTACTCAGTATCTGCATGTTTATCACTGGTTGTCTTGAGTACTAGTTCCTGGAAGTAAATTCCAGATGCGGTGTCCCAGGATGGTGGGGCCTTTTCCTAGTGCTCTGGCTCTGCTGATTAGCCATTGAGATCTCAGCTCCTTGTAATTTCCTGAGCCCTATGTTGTTGTCTGCCATGCACTGTACTTGTCGATAGATTCCCTCTTAGTGGGGACATTGTGAAGGCATCTCCTGTACGTCTGAGTATTTACTCTCGGGCACTAAGACTGAGAGTTCTGTGTGGCTCTCTCATGAAAACAGTCATGATTCCAGCTTAAATTTATTTTCTAATATTTCAGTTTTCACTGTTTCTCAGCCCTGCCTTACAAAAACTTTGGAAAAAAGGCACATCTGCTCTCAGAGGAAGAGCGAGAGGGAGGGGAAGAAAAACATAGTAGGGTAAGAAACTTGGTGTATTTGCCTCTCAGTTGTACAAGGCTCCATAATCATGTCACTTGGTTTGAGCATGTTAGTGTGTATAAATTGCTCTTCAAAAACATTTTTAGTTACACTAATGAGACTTGACAACAAGGCATATTGGAAAGTTCACATCTCTCTCTTCTCTCTTGGCATGGTATTCCAAGACCACGATGGCTGTCGTTAATTGCAAAGTATGATCTGAGTCATTTAAGCAAGTCTACCATGGTTGGCTGTGACAGACTTGTCCGGATATTCTGTCTAAATCCTGGCCTCCTGGTGGGGCTGTGGCAGGTAAGATGGAGTTCACACACGACTGTGTCATTACCCTCCACCGTCCGTGTTTGCACACTGTTATATATGTAAGATGGAGTTCACACTGTTATGTATGTAAGATGGAGGTCACACATGACTGTGTCATTACCTCCACAGTCCGTGTGTGCACACTGTTATGTATGTAAGATGGAGGTCACACACGACTGTGTCATTACCCTCCACCGTCCGTGTTTGCACACTGTTATATATGTAAGATGGAGTTCACACACGACTGTGTCATTACCTCCACAGTCCGTGTGTGCACACTGTTACGTATGTAAGATGGAGTTCACACACGACTGTGTCATTACCTCCACAGTCCGTGTGTGCACACTGTTGTATATGAGACTGAATGTAGACTCGGAAGCATCCGTGCTGATCTGGATGACGGCACCTCTCTGCCTTCCTGTGTCTACTGACAATTAGTTCTTTCATGTCAGGGCACTTCTCCACTTCTCCCAGTAAGTCTATGTATGTTCCACTCTCCTTTCAAGTCTTTCTTTGCTGAACTTTCTGATAGGACATGCCCAACATGGAGGTCTCTAAGAATCTTTCTGATTTGTGAATGTGACATGGGACATACTCTGCCCTTCAGTGTCAAGTGTCTAAGAAGTCACTCCTTTGACCTGTGTGTTTCTGTTTCACTGGGCCAGGCTGAGTTCTGACCTGGGGTGTTTTTTTTTTGACTTTTAATTCAAATGGAATTATCACTTCCCCTTTTGCCCTTTTCCTTCCAGCCACTCACAAGTCTCCTCCTTCCAACCCCTTTCATGCCTCTTCCCACTGTTACTATCAATTTATGTGAGTCTATTAAATGTGTAACAGAACTTATTAAGATATAAATTGAGGAAATACACTCACGAATACAGAATGGAGTAGACAGTGTTAGTCATCCTCTGGTCTGATCAGGAGCGAATCCACTTCACAGGCGGGAGCAGGGAGCAGGGAGCAGGGGCATGTGACCCTTCTCCAGCTCCTTATAAGAGGTCACGTACAGGCAGGAAGCACCGCCTCCTTTGGGCCATATAACCCAAGGTCATGGGTGGAGCAAATACCACTACATTCCACTCTCAAATTGATAGCCTCTTTCTATCATTATTGTTACATACACACATCTATATGTATGCAGACATATATAAATACAACCTGCTGAGTTCATTTTCGTTGCTTGTGTGTATATAGTTTTAGGGCTTACTATTGGATAACCAGTTAGGGGGCTCAACCCTAAGAAAGGATATAATTCTCTGTCTCTCAACACTCATTTGTTGCCTGTAGTTTTTTGTCTAGGTGTGGGACCGTGTGACAGTTTCCCTTATCAGTGTTAGCATGTCTATTGGTCATGCTATTGTCTGGGTCTTGTTTATGCAGTCATCTCTCAGACAGACTGTCTGAGAGCAAACTTACTCATGTTCTGACTCTTACAGTCTTTATGCATCCTCTCTGCAATGTTCCCTCAGCCACCGATGCGGGAGGTGTGATGTAAATGTTTCCTTTGGGGCTGAGCTCCAAACCACCTGTTGATCTCTGTACTGCGTCCAGTTGTGGATTTCTGTAATGGTCTTTCTCCATTTGCTGTACAGAGAAGCATCTTTGATAAGGGGTCGTAGCTGTGCTTACTTCTGGTTATCAGGATAAGATTTAGAATGTAGTAGGGAATTGCGCTGGTCTAGCAAAGTGGCCACAGTAGATTCTTTTCTGAGACCCATGACCTCACTAGCCCTACCTAGGAAGTTGGCTAGGTTTCTAGTGCTAAGCAGGATTTACCTCCTGTTGAGTGACCTTAAGTTCAGTGAGCAGCTGTTGGGTGCCGCTTACATGTAGTCCACTTATGTGCCGCTTTACTGTGCTGGCCATTGTTGTGGTTTATGGGTGTTTACAGCTGGGTAGGACAATTAGTGTCTCTCCCTTGGGAGCTTGCATAGTATTTTCTGATACCGCAGAAGCTAGACCACAGGAACGAGGCTTTCAGGTCAGGCCCAGCTTGAATCATCTGAGTCGGTCTGAAGCTTGTATCCTAAGTGTGCAGTATATTCAGCAATAGGGGTTTACCTTCAACCTCTGAGAGGCAACTGAGGCAACAGCAATAGTCTATATTCTTTTGGGAGTCACTTATACTACCCTGACCAACAATTCAAAAGAAGCGTTCTCATGGGTTATATTCTACAGTCACTTGGTGGATTGCAGGGTAGTGTGGTGCACCTCTGTGCATCCACATTTGTTTAGTTTTGCAGGGTAGTGTGGTGCACCTCTGTGCATCCACATTTGTTTAGTTTTGCAGGGTAGTGTGGTGCACCTCTGTGCATCCACATTTGTTTAGTTTTGTGGCTTTGGCTCTTGGCTCTTTTATGAGAGCAGTTCGCAGATTGGTTAAGAGTGGCAGTGTATCTCTGTACAGTGACAGGACAGAATCAAGTTTTCAGTTTTCTACAGCATCATCCTCTTGCCCTTCTTATCAGCTAACTGTCATAGTCATTGTTTCTGTCCTTTTTACTCTCTTTCTCTGTGATTTGAGGACGAAGCAGGAAGAGGTGTACTGTGCATTTTATGACTTAAACTTATGGGTCCTTTTTGGTCTGTTTGATCTGGTTACAGAGTGGCATTTTCAGGCGTATATACTGTAGCAGTAAACATCAGTTCCTCTATAACCACATTTTCTGCCATTTAACCCAGTGGGCAAGTGAAGAAGTAAAATTAGTCATTTCTACTGCATTTGCCAAACAAAGCAATTATTTGCAAATGAAACATCATTCTAGCTTGATCTCTGTTGCAGTGATAAACAACACAGCCAAGAGCAACTTGGGTGAGGAAAGGGTTTATTTTATCTTATATTACCAGGTCACAGCCCATCACTGAGGGAAATCAGGGCAGGAAGTCACGTCAGGTACTAGGTGGCAGGAACTACAGAGGAAGGCTGCTTGCTTGCTCTCTAGCCTCTGTTCAGCCAGCTGTCGTAGATAGTCCAGAGCCTCATGCCTAGGGATGCTGGGCCCTCCTGTATCAATTAGCAATTAAGAAAATGCCCCACAGACAGGCGCACAGCCAGTCAGATCCAAGCAGTCTCTTAGTTGGGACTCTTGGATAATTCTGGGACGTATCAAGTTGACAGCTGAAGCTAACTAGGAGAAGCATTATCCAGTAATGCTCAGTGTTTATGAAATTTTCCAGACATCTGCAGGGTCTTATCAGATTGTCTTTATCTTTGAAAAGAGTTTGAAATAGCCTGAAATCATCTCTCTCTCTCTCTCTCTCTCTCTCTCTCTCTCTCTCTCCCTCCCTCTCCCTCTCACACACACACACACACACACACACACACACACACACTCCTATATGTATACACGTATATGGGTATGTGCATATTATGTATTATTTATGTATACATATAAATAACATGGAAATCATTGTATAGAATAGAGCATTTTGCTGTTTCACATATGCAGGGCATTAATTCTTTTGTGACTACGTGTTCTGTATATTGAGTGAATCATGATCCAGCTCTCATTATTGTATATAAGTCTTATGGTAACACTTTACTAGCAGTAATAATGCATGTATCTTCAAGATGATAAGCTGTGATTTTCACAATGAACTTGTGAAAATTAAAATACTTCTATTGAAAACTATGTTCTTTTAAATTAACTTTTCAGAAGGAGGACGGACTGGCTTTTGTCATGGCAAATCTTCATTTTCATCGCCTTGTGGAGAGAAGCACATTAGGCTCAGCCACTCTGTATGTATCTGTATGTGGGTGAATTGGATTTATGTGTGGTCAGGATAGAAGTCGGGTCTGTCTTAATAGTCTAACAATAGCTATAAAAGTATCCCATAGCCAGTAGATACAAGACAGCAGACATGACTTAGCAGACTTAGCTATTGCTAACATAATTGTATTATTTATGAATATGTGTCTGCTTGATTTTTTCTAGTTTAAGGACTTTATACCTGGTAGAGTATTACTTACAGAGGCAGGAGTACTTTGCTTTGATAGCATGCTACCATTCTCCCTCAAGTTCTCTTACTTAATGTGAAGTTTGGGACTTTGAAAATGTACAGACCTTTGACCTTCTGGTTGACTCTGTTCTGCTTTTGTGGGTGTCTTCTAATATTTCAGCTTATTGTTAGGTGGGGAGCATTTTTTTCTGTCTCCCTGCACCTTTCCCCTGGGTCTCTCCCTTACTCACTTTTTAAATATCTGTAAAGCTCTTGAATGCTTTTACATATGTTCCCTTCCATGGTGAGGTTTTCTTACTGAAATAATTGGTTGGTTTTAGCTTGAGTGTTTGCCTGATTCCCTGGCCTGTAGGTCTGTGTTGGCGAACCTTCTGCGGGGTGCCTCTGTCTTTGGCCATTGAGAACTACTATTGTAGGGTGGATCTCAATCACGTTCACTGCGGTGGTCTGAATGCTGCCCGTGGAACTCTATATTGGTGCTGATTTTTGTAGAAGTTGGTGAGAACAACAAAGAACAGTTCTTTTGAGTTCACAGTATGAAGATTATTAGGGCTCCTGTATAGTGTGTCATTGGTGGGAGGTAGTGAATTGAATAGATAATAATTTTTAGGAGTATTTTCCAACCAAGTATTTAGTCTGTGATGTTGACAGATTTGTCTGTTTTGATTGCTTTTCAGCCCCTATGTGCTGCCTCCTCATAGTCCCTTTGTGGATGACAGCCCCGAGTATGGACTGCAAGGCTATCAGCTTCACATTGACATGCACGGCGGGGGGATTTTCTACCTGTGCAGTACATTTCGCAACCTCTTCTCCAGGAAAGGTGAAATTGAGTTAACGTTTGTTTCTGAAATTGGTGGGTTGTAGAGAAGAGTTAGGAATCCCCTCCCAGCTGGTCCTTCATCGTCTGTCAGCGCCTGTGTCCCCGGCTCTCTCCTTTCCTACACAGGACTTGGGAAGTACTGCAGCCTGCACAGTCGCTCTGGCTCTGGCTCTGGCTCCACCATTCTCTCACCTCTAGAGGAGGCTTGCCTCCCCTTTCTGACCATATTCCAGACTGCCTTTCTTACTTCCAAATCTTCCCTCTCCCAGGAATTTGGAAATGTCACAGGGTGGATGTCACTGCCTTAGAGAGCGAGACTACAACGAAGCCAGTTTTTCTCATGTTTGCACTGTCTCAGTGTTTTCCGCTTGCCACACTTCCCGAAACTAAGGAAAGGGCTGGAGGAAACTCAGGCTCAGAATGCATACCCTATTCTGATCCACCTGCTTGTTCCCTTTTGGGATTGTTTATGAATTCTTAAACTTGAAGTCTAGTGTAGATCTGCTTGGGTTCAAGTTTAATATTTTTGGTGAGTATATGGTACAGAGGAAAATGGAACTTCATTATGTGTCATATTACAAGTCATGCTATGTCAGGCTGCCCTATCAGTAAATTTCATCATTTGGTTAAGAGGACTATTGTGTTTCCTCACTGTGAAGGCATTCTTTTTCAAACGTAATTACCCTAATCCTCTTCCACCTGATGAACTGCCATCCACCTAATGACCCTTGTCCAAATCAGATTTTTTTGTTTGAGTTTAGAAAAATGTTGACTTTTAAAAGTTATGGTGTTAGTTTTAGATTTGTTGGCTGAACTTTTCTGTAAAGCATGTTGTCTTACCACTGTGAGCCACAGAAGCAGGTAAGCACCCAGTTCTTTTCCTTCAGCTACTGCTGGTCAATTAAGAAATACCCTTTATGGTGGACTAAAACTATTCATGTTTAGTGTGACATTGGACTTCTGAATTTTTATTTACTTAATGTCCTATAGCTAGCTATAGCCAGTCTTCCTTTTGAAGCTAAAATTGTCATCAGGAATCTGTGTCGCTGGTGATCTGTGCCTCTTTCGTACCCCTGCATTAGTCTGGTGGTCTGTGCCTTTCATGTCCCCTGCATCAGTCTGAAAGCTACCCTTGCCTTTTGGGCTCAGGGAGGTTCTTGTGCTTGTTGGCATTTACTTTTTATTAATTAAATTTGTTCTTTCACTATTTTACACATGGATATAATATATTGTGATTGCTCCCCCGTCTCCCTTCTGATCCTTGTTGTCCACCCCTCTTCTCTACAAATTTCTTTCCTACCTTCATGTCTTTTCCTTTTGTTTTGTGCTCTACCGAGTTTAATAGGGGCTGTTTGTGTAATCACAGGTTTGGAACTATCCTTTGGAACTCAGTGGACTCACCATTGGATACACAAATGAAAGTGATTACGGTCCCTCACCAAAAGTCCACTGGTAGCCTGTAGTTCAGCAGGGAAGGGTAGGGGCCCCCCCGAGCCTCTCCCTCATCCGTGACTGACTGTTGACAGACCAGTCTTTTGAAGACTCAGTGTGGGTCCTGTTTTGTCTGTATCTTGCTACCAAGGTGTGTCATATTTTCAGCAGTAGGTGGATCCTTTTTATTTGGTTCTGGTGGGCACCCAAGAGGAATGACAGGAGCTCATATTGTTTTTGAAGCCAGTGGGACCTCTGTGACTAGCATCTCATACAGAAGTATCCCACACCTGGCAGTGGGAGTTTTATTTATTGACACACTGATTCTAGGAACAGTACTGTCTACCCATATAAGCTGTTTCCCTTTTAACTTTTTAAAAATATTTCTAATTGAGTTAAAGATCGTAGGTGTCTGCATAACTGTTTCATACGCTTTTCATTTCGGTTACTCTTCCCTACCTGCCCCCTTCTCTCTCTCGCCCCTCTGCCTTTTGTGCTTCAGCCTTCCTTGTATGCCCACTCTCTCTCCTGTTTCAGCTATGTTTGGCTGTCTGCACTTGCGTACTGCGCCCAACCCACCTCCTTATATTCCTTTGTAGTTTCCCAGCTTCCATCCACACTGTAGAGTCTACAGGTACTCCAGGTCAAACACACAAACTGAAGAGCTGGACTGAGAATCTACATATGAGAAAGAACATGTAGCATTTGTCTTTCTGGGCCTGAGTTACCTTACTCAGTATTATTTCCAGTTCTGTCCATTTACTTGCAAATTTTATAACTTGATTTTTCTTTACAGCTGAGTAGAATTCTGTTAAGTTTATGTACCACATTTTTATTATTCTTTCATCAGTTAGTTCATGGACATCTAGGCTAATGCCATTTCCTAGCTATTGTGACTAGAGCAGCAATGAAAATAGTTGTCCAAGTGTCTGTAGTAGGGTATTAAGAGCCTTGGGTATAAATATACCCAGTGGTATAGCTGGGTCATATGAGAACTCTTATTTTTAGTTTTTTGAGAAACCTCCAGACTGATTTCCGAAGTTCACATTCCCACCAACACTGTATAAGGTTCTTCTTTCCCCATGCAGCTAGTTGTTGAGACTTATAGCCTTGATGATGGCCATTTATGATAGAATCTTAAAGTAGTTTTAATCCTTATTCTCTGGTGACTAAATGTTGCTGGAATTGCTAAATGGTCTTTTAATAAAAAAAAAACAAACTAACAAAAAAAAAAAAACAACTACCCGGAGCCAGATATTGGGGTAAATGCTGAAAGATCAGAGAGACAAAGGAACAAGCCACTGCCACATCTCACCTCACCAACTCCACGAATCCTCTGGCTTACAGGAATCCTCTGACTTAATGCTTCTGAGTCCTCAGCCAAAAGGCTTCCTTAGCTAAAAGGGGTCCAGCGAAAAGGCTTTAGTTCCTGCCCCTTCACACCTTATATACGTTTCTCTGCCTATTTCCTTCCTAGTGCTGGGATTGAAGGCGTGTGATTCCCAAGTACTGGGATTAAAGGTGTGTGCCACCACTGCCTGGCTCTGTTTCTCTCCTAGACTGGATCAATCTCATGTAGTCCAGGGTGGCTTTGAACTCACAGAGATCCAGACGGATCTCTGCCTCCTGAGTATTAGGATTAAAGGTGTCTGGCTTCTATGTTTAACCTAGTGGCTTGTTCTGTCCTCTGATCTTCAGGCAAATTTTACTAGAGTACAACAAAATATTACCACAACTAAAGATGTTGATCATTTTTAAAACTGTTTACTAGCTGTTCGTATTTCTTCTTTTGAGTACTCTTTGTTTAGTTCCATAGGCTGTTTTTAAATTGTGGTGTGTGTTCTCTTGATGGTTAGTTTTGTTTTGTTTTTAATTCCCTGTGTTTTCTAGATACCAACCCTTTGTCACATGTGTAGATGGTTAGTTTTGTTTTGTTTTTAATTCCCTGTGTTTTCTAGATACCAATCCTTTGTCACATGTGTAGATGGTTAGTTTTGTTTTGTTTTTAATTCCCTGTGTTTTCTAGATACCAACCCTTTGTCACATGTGTAGATGGTTAGTTTTGTTTTTTCTTTAATTCCCTGTGTTTTCTAGATACCAACCCTTTGTCACATGTGTAGATGGTTAGTTTTGTTTTTTCTTTAATTCCCTGTGTTTTCTAGATACCAACCCTTTGTCACATGTGTAGATGGTTAGTTTTGTTTTTTCTTTAATTCCCTGTGTTTTCTAGATACCAACCCTTTGTCACATGTGTAGCCGGCAGAGATTTTATCCTATTCTTGGGCTGCCTCTTTCATTGATTGACAGTTTGCATCTCTGTACAGAAGCTTTTTAGTTTTATGAGATCCCATTTGTCAATTGCTGGTCTTGTTTCCTATGCTATTGGAGTCCTATCAGAAAAATCCTTACCCTTCCATATCTGTATGCCGAAGCTTGCTTACTACTTTTTCCTCTAGCAGTTTCAGAATATCTGGTCTTCAGTTGAGTCCTTGATCCATACGAAGCTGAATTTTATTCAGAATGAGAGCTAAGAATCTAGTTTCTTTCTTTTGCATGTTGATATCCATTTTGACCAACACCATTTGTTGAAGATGCCATTTTCCTCTCTAATGAGTATTTTTACATCGTTGTTAAAAGTCGTGTGGCTATGGTTGTAGTGACTTGACTCTGGTTCCCCTCTTCTATTCCACTGGTTCATGTGCCTGTTTTTGTGCCAGTACTATACTGTTTTTATTACTGTGGCTCTGTAGTACAACTTGAAATTATGTATAGTGGTAACTCCCAACATATTCTGTTGTTTAGGGTTGCTTAGGCTACTCATGGTCTTTTCTGCTCTCATATGTGTTTTAAGATTGTTTTTCTATCTTTAAAAGTCCCACAATCTTAAAAGTCTAAGTTTCCTTTAAAAACCCAATGTTTCTTTAAAAGTCCAAAGTTTTTCAACTGTGGGCCCCTATAAAATAATGATAATAATAATAATAATAATAGTAAATGTTATGTAGTTTGTTACTCCAAGAGGCAAGAACTAGGGAACAATCATAAATCAAAGCAAAACCAACATCAACAATGTAAAAATTTCAGTGCTTGATGTCTGGGACCCACATATGATCATCTGGGCTACAAGGGACTCGAGCAACTCCACCTCTTGGGCACTGAAACCCATAACTCACATAACTTGTCTCATAAGTTCAGGTTGGTTCTGTTCCACAGCTGCTGCTGTCCTTGGCAGTCTCCCCATGGTGCTGATATTTCCAGTATACTGGGGGGTCTTTGCTGCAGCTGAGGCTGCGTCTTCATCAGTTGCCTTTTCCACCCTCTTTTCAGGGGCTCCAACCTTGCCATCTAGTGCCATGCCTTCAAACCAGCACTACCTGAAGGACTACACATTGCCAAGTTTTGCTATTAGCATGAGATGCTGGCTTGGCCACCCTGGACACAGTGTCTCTGTGCTGACCTTGAAGAAGTACTCTTGGAAGATTTTGCCTCAATGATGCTGGTCTCTTCTTAATCACATCTGATTTCTCAGCCTTGGCTAGTCAATACAGTTGTCCCACTAAAACAGATGTTTC